TTTCTTCTCCCCATGTCCACGATTCCTTGTTTGGGTGTAGGAAATAAGACACCCCCCCCCCCTCCTGGCTTCTCTCTCCCCACACCCATCTCCCTGTCCACCCTTGTCTCCCTACTTGGGAGAGGGAGTCAGGGCCCAGAACTGGGAGGAATGTCCAGCCTTCTGCAGTAATCGGTTACAAAATACTCAAGTATCCTCGGCTGAGGCTCAGTGGTTGAGCATCAACCTGTGAACCAGGAGGTCACGGTTGGATTCCAGGTCATGGTGGCACACACCTGGGTTGCGGGCTCAACCCTCAGTGTGGGGTGTGCCGGAGGCAGCCGATCCATGATTCTCTCTCATCACTGATGTTTCTATCTCTCTCTCCCTCTCCCTTCCTCTCTAAAATCAATAGAAATATATTTTAAAAAAATACTCAAGTACTTTTTAGCAGCTGGCGAAACCTATGGGAGTGTTCTGTAATAACCGGCTTAGAGATACTCAAGCATCGCATGGTGATGGCTGGAAAATACTTGACTATTCTGTGTGGCTGGTGGGGCCAGCAAGACGAGGGGGAGAGAGGAGGACCTGCTAGAAAAGCCGCCTCCTGTGGGCTTGGGGCTTAGAGGGTGGGCCAGGAGCCTGGGTCTCATGCAGGGACGGACAGGCGAGAAGGTGTCTGAGCCAGGGGCCATCACTGGAAGTTACTTGAGCAGCCTGCGGTAATGGGCACTGAGTTCCTCGGGTATCTTGCCATTAACGGGAAGGTGCTCAGTCTCTCTAAAGGCCCTGGGGAGACCAGGAGGAGAAGAGATGGCCTTGTCTTGGTCTGGGCCTAGGTCTCGGCATAATGGGAGGGGACATGAGATCCAGGCTGCCACCCCCCGTCCTCCCCCGTCCATTCTATTCATCACCCTGGACCTTCAAGCCAGGGCCCAGGCTCTGGAATATTTCCTATCAGAGCTCTCATTTCTCAATTTCCTCCCAAGCCCCAAGTGGGTCCAGCCTGGGAGTGAGGGGCACGGACAGACTGGGGCTGGGTGGGTAGGAGGAGGCCTGCAGGCTGGTGAGCTGAGATCTCTCTCTGGGTGGGGCGGCAGCCTGACCCCCTGCCTCCGCCTGCAGGGTCCCCTCCTCCTCCATCACTGGCAGAGCTAACGAGGAGATAATGGACTTGAATAGACAGATTGATTATGAATCCAAACGAATGAGGCAGCTTTGAGCACGCTGCCTGACAGCTTGCACATGCCCGGCCACTGCATTCTCACCCCCTCCCGGGGCCGTACAGCTCCACACGCTCTGGGCAGGGACCCGCTCTCCCTCAGAGGCACTGGAGTTTATCCCCTGGGCCCTGGGGGACTGTCTGCTGGGACCAGGGTTGGGAAGGGGAGAGGAAGAGAGGGTCACCCAGGCTTCTCCTGGTTCCCACAACTTAGGGGAAGTCAGAGGGGAGAGGGGGAGAGCTCTGAGACAGACAGTGAGTCAGGGGCCCCTGGCGTGTGTGGGGGTGGGGGGTTCACTGACGTGCCCCTGCAGGGCAGCCGAGTTCTCAGGAACTCCCTGGCATGTCAGATCCAGAGGCCGGGCAGTGCCCAGGGCACCAACAACCCCCCACCCCTGCATGCCTGCTCCTCCTTCTTCCTCCTTTCTTTCTCATATCTCTGGCTCTCTGTCCTCTCTCTCTCTCTCTCTCTCTGCCTCTCCTAGTCTCTTCCTATCAGTTTCTCTTTCTCAGTGTCTTTTTTTCTCTTTCTCTGTTTGCTTTTCTGCCACCCCCCACACTGGGCCTCCCGTGGCTCTCACGGTGTAAGTCAGCCCCCCACGCCTCTTCACCACGGACTCTGACCCATCCTCTCACTGCCCCGCTCCTTCCTAGGTCCCTCCTGGGGCGGGCGGGGAGGGGTTCAAGATGTCTCTGGCTGACAGCTTCTGTGCCTCTGCTCGCTGTGCTGAAAGGTGGCGGGAGGGAGTAGGGATTTGTGTTGAGTGTGGCTTCAAGGGGGAGGGTGGTGTGTGTGTATTTGTGTGTGTGGAGGGATGGGTGAGCAGGTGTGTTTGGGCACACATATTTGCATGACCATGAGGCATCCTCTGTGCTAGGTGGGCAGTGGCCGCTAAGAGCCTAGGCCCCTTATGGAAGCAAGTGCTTCAGCAGGGCCCCGTTGTTGGCATGAGCAGGACAGGCCTGTGTAAAAGAGCAGAATGCCAAGCCAAGAACGGACTTGTGTGTGTTTATGAATGTGAGTGTGCACATACAGTCTCACACACGTGTACGTGTGCCTGAGAGAGCTATGTGTATGTGTGTCCATGTGTGAGGGTGTGAGCATACCCAGGCGCACATCTGTGGCTTCAGGCATGCATGTGTGTGACTGTGTGTAAGGAGGTGCATTTCTGTGCATGTATTTATGCCTCTGTGTGTATGTCCTGTATATGAGAAATGAGGGTGTGCATGTGTGAGGGTGTGAGGATGCATGCATACATGTTCATGTGTGACTTGTGTGTGTGCAAATGTGCGTGCCTGTGCCTGTGTGTGTGTAAATGGGTCTGTGCACAGTATGAGTGTTCATGCATGCACACGGGTGTGTGTGATTGTGAGAGAGGCGGGTAGGTGGGTATGGGGACTTGAGGGTGGGTCTGGCCTCCCGTGACTCCCCTCCCCTCTCCCCACAGCTACATCGAGAATGAGCAGCATCTGCAGCGTCTGGAGCCCAATCACCTGAGGGGCCTGGGGGAGCTGAGAAACCTGTGAGGGGCAGGGACTGTGGGTGTAGGGCTCAGTGCAGAGCCCGTTGGACCAGAGGGTGGGTGGGCTCAAAGGTTCCAGGGGCCTGGGAGGGCCTGAGAGGCTGAGGCCTGAGGGCTGGAGGAGGTCGGAAAGCACAGGGGTCCCGGGCAGCTGAGGAAGCTGTGAGGGATGGGGGATGGGGAGGGATCCAGGCTCAGCACGGGGACTGGGGGCTGGCCTGGGCAGAGATGCCAGGACCCGGGTGGCGGAGGCTCTGGAGCTGACCCTGCTGCACCCTTCCCAGCACCATCGTGAAGAGTGGCCTCCGGAGCGTGGCGCCGAATGCCTTCCACTTCACCCCTCGGCTCAGTCGCCTGTGAGTGGCCCGGGCTGGGCAGAGAGGGTGGGAGGCCACCCAGACGTGGGCAGCTGATGGGCTGGGCCCTCCCCAGGGGCCTGGAGTGAGGAAGGCTCCAGCCTGGGGCTCTCCTCCACTTCAGGGAGCAGCGCTCTCAGCTCCCACCCTGCAGCTAGAGGCCCTTCTCGCTGTCCCACTTCCACACTTCATGCTGCAGGAACATTCTCCTAGGTGCCTGTCCCGTTTTTTTCTTCCCAGAGTTTAGATACGCGTGAACTGGGGAGCAAGGGGCAGGAGCAGGACCCTGGGGTCTGGCTGGGATCCATCTCCCCTGGGAGCTGGGGTATCAGACCTGCCCCTCGTCACCCTCCCCATGCCTGGGAGTCCCGGCTCAGGACGGGGCGGGGAAGGGCGGGCAGGAGAGACTGCTGAAGGAGAGGCCCTTGGTGTCCCGGACTGCCCCTCCCTGAGGGCAAGAGTCCAGCAACTTCCCCCATCACAGGCAGATGGAGAGAGGGAAGGGTGGTGGGATCTGTCATTCACATGGCTGTGCTGGGTGCCCTAAACTCTGTTGTGTCCAGTGATTTAACAACAACAACCACAAAGATGAGGTGAGGCCGCATCACTGACTCTGAACTGGGGCTTCCGCTAACAATGTGCACCTCACCCTGCATATGCCAGTGAGTCTGCACTCAGCCTGGAGAGAGAGTCATCCCCACTTTAAAAGCGCGGGTTCTGAGACTCGGCGAGGCTACTTTCTGGGCTGAGGTCACTCAGCTGTGAGTGGCTGGACAGAACCACACTCAGCGCTGTGGTGCTGGAGGGGGTAGGCCTTCCGATCCCTCTGCAGGACAGTTAAGCAAGGTGGGGGCCAGGGCAGGCCCCTCGGAGGCAGAAGGTCCCAGGAGGGGCAGGAACATTCTCATAGGTGCTGGTTGGTGCCGGGAGCTCCTAAGCCAGCTTCCTGTGTGGCCTGGAGCTGGCCCCCCAGCTCACCTCTCCGTCTCTCCAACAAGGGGCTGGGGGCCTGGGGGCCCTTTCAGCTGCTTTCTTAAGTCCCCGAGGAGGAATGGGGAGGGGACCTGAGGAAGCAGTCTGAACCCCTCGTCATCCGGTAGGGGGCAAGAGAGTGTGGGAGCCCCGTCCCCCCACCCCCTCCGTCCCGGGCTCTGTGGGGAGGAGAGCACAGATGGAGCCCCCTCCCCCAGCTGGGGCCTCAGCACTTTGCCAGCTGGGGCCAAGGGTGGGGAGGAAGGAGCAGCTGTTCTCTGGACCCCCTCCCTGGGGTCTGGGGAGGGGGTTAAGTGGGGTGAGCTCTTGTTCCAGGAAGAAGGGCACTTGAAGAGCCTAACCTGTCCCCCCACCCCCAAGGCCTCCCCGCTGGGCTGGGCTCCTGGGCTCCTCCCCTCCCTCAAGCTGGGTCAGAGGGAGGTCGTTGCTCAGGGGGGTCTGTCTCGCTGTCTCTACTCCTGCAGGAACCTCTCCTTCAATGCTCTGGAGTCTCTCTCCTGGAAAACCGTCCAGGGCCTCTCCTTACAGGAACTGTGAGTGTGGGTGCTCCAGGGGCGAGAGCAGCGTGCGTGCGTGTGTGTGTGTGTGTGTGTGTGTGTGTGTGTGTGTTACTGTGTCACTGTGTCCGTGTGGAACTGGCAGGGCGGAGTGGCTCTGGGGACTCCCTGTTTATCTGTGAGCTGAGACGGGGACTCTGCATGCCTGTGAACCTCCCATAAAAACAGAGGCTGCAGGCCTACCCCTTGAGGGGCTTATTGCCTTGGGGGGCGGGTGGGGTGTGGGGTGGGGTGCTGGCCTGGACAACCAATTCTGTGTGTGCTCAGGAGGCTGGGGGCTGCCAGCTGCCTGTGCAGTGGGGTGGGTGGGACACCTAAGGCCTCTGGGCCTCCCCGGGAGGCAATGTCCATCCCTCCTTGTCACCTGGCCCCTTCCCCGGGGGAGCCGGGGTAAGGGAATGCCATGGGCCATAGGCACCTGTCTGACCTTCTGCGTTCTGTTTCTTCCCATGTCTTGTTACTGGTTGGTGAGAGGGACTCCCATGTCCACACTCCTTTTCCTCGAGACATTCCACGCTGCTAACTGCACTCCCTCTTACTGTGGGCTTCATTCAGTGTGGCTCTCAGGCCCACCCCTCCCCTCCCCTCCCCGCCCCTGACTCTCTTGGTATCCCCCCCTACCCCCCAGAGTCCTGTCTGGGAACCCTCTGCTCTGCTCCTGTGCCCTGCACTGGCTGCAGCGCTGGGAGGAGGAGGGACTGGGCGGCGTCCAGAAGCTCCAGTGTCTCGGGCAGCAGTCCTTTGCCCACATGTCCAACACCAGCTGTGGTAGGTGCTGGAGGTGGTCCAGGGGCTGGGAAAGAGAGCTACGTGCTTGGGAAGAGGGCACAGAGCAGAGCTGGTGGTGGTGGTGGTGGGGGGCAGCACTGAAGGAGCCTGGGGAATGGGCATTGGCAAGAGCTGGGGAAACGGAAGGGTGGGGAGCATTGCAGTGGCGGGCTCAGGGTCCCTGAGGAGGTTGGGGAGAGGAGCACGGCTTGGGTGGGTTCTGAGGCCATTGCCTTCTCTAACACCCCTTGGGCATCCTGGGTGACCAGGCGTGCCCATGCTGAAGGTCCAGATGCCCAATGCCTCCGTGGGCGTGGGGGACGACGTGTTGCTGCAGTGCCAGGTGCAGGGGCAGGACGTGAAGGACGCCGGCTGGATCGTCACAGAGGTGGAGGAGTCGGCCACGGTGATGGTGAGCAGCCCTTCACCCTCGCTGCCCCTTCCCCTCTCCCCGGAATCCTGGGCAGAACACGGGGGACAAAGACAGGAAAAGAGACCACGAATAAGAAGCACGTAGAGGGCAACAGAGGGACAGAGCTGGTTTAGATCCTCGGGGCTCAGGCTCGTGCTGCGGGGCAGCCCCGGGTCCCACACGTGGCCTCAGGAAGGGCACTGGCCCCGTGGGGACCCCAGGCTCTGCTGGAGCCCCCTCTCTGGGAACATGGTTCTGGCTGCAAGACAGAGGGTCGCAGAGCCCTCACATTTGGAGCTGAGGGGGACCCTGCAGCCCGTCCCTCCCACCCACCCCCCCTTTCTAGATAAGGAAACAGGACCGTGGAGAGGGCGCAGTGTCTGTGGCCCCGTACCATAGCCAGGCTGGTTCTCCGGGGACTTCCGGTCTCTTTCTGGAGATTCTGGAAGCAGGTTGTCTTGGGTGTGTGATAAGCGTATAGTAAAGGGGGCTTAGGTCTGGTTCCAGCTCGCTCGCTCATTAATTATTAGAGCGAGTTTCGGAAACATCTCTTAATCTGCCTGCACTCCGTTTTCTTATCTGTAAATTGAGGAGGTGGACATGATGGCCTTCTGATGTCCTGCCTGCCTCTGGCCACTCTCTGGCCTTTATCTCTGTCATTCAGATGTGTCTTTGGGCACCTTCCCAGGCTCGCCCTGTGTCCTCAGGCTGGCGACGGGCAGTCAAGAGCAGCCACAGCTGACTCAGGAGGCCTTGTGGACAAGGTCAGGAGGGGCCAACCGTAGGCTGTGCCCACCCAAAAGCTGTCCCCACCTGGGTAGACACATACAGGGTCCAGCCCCTGGGAAGAGATGGGCCAGGGGGACCCAGGCGGGGGTGTTCAGCTTAGAGGCCCTCACTTGGGGAGGGGAGTCGACTCCAGGATCGCTGGAGGCCCCTGGAGCAGGGTTGCAGGAAGAAGCACTGGAGCCCCGAGCAGGGGGGAGCCAGACATGGTGGAGGGGCCACTAGCCACTGGTTCTTCCGCCCAGAGATCAAAGCCACTGGAGTAATGGAAAGCGGACAAGGTGGAGGCAAGAGGTGGGCCATGACTCTCTGGGGAGATCAACGATGCTTTGATGAATTCCAGGGTTTTGTTTTTCTCTTTGGGAGATTTACATGTTTGCTATCAGTTATGTTTTCTAGAAAGTTCCTATAGAAAAGTCACCCCCTAACTGGGTTAAATGGAGGGGAGGGGAGGATGGTCACCTTTAGGGGAGTGAAGGATGCAGAGGGAAGAGTTAGTAGGACACCACACTCCGGGTGATTTGGAGGAGATGGGACAGCAAGGAGGGCCTTAGGGCAGGGCTTCTCACAGAGCCTGGGCCTCGGAGCTCGCACAAGAGGCTGGGCAGCACTTCCAGCTCCTCTGAACTCCCACAGTCCAGCGGAAGCCCAGAGAAACCTCCCCTCCTCTAGCTTTAGTCAAGGGATTCCACATTTAGAAGTTTCCAGATCAGTGAGATTTGTCCACTACTTCACTTATTTTCCTCGTTTTTATGAAAACGGCTTTCTAAGCTGTCAAAAGATCATTTTGTCTACCTCATCGTCTGACAAAAACAAGGAAACCATGGCTCAGCAAGATAAGGTCACATAACTTCCACATGTCCACGGTTTCTTAGGAAGAGAACCGGAACCCGATTCAACCTTTTTATTTATTTATTTAATTTTATTATTATTTTAAAAATATATTTTATTGATTTTTTACAGAGAGGAAGGGAGAGGGATAGAGAGTTAGAAACATCGATCAGCTGCCTCCTGCACACTCCCTGCTGGGGGTGTGCCTGCAACCAAGGTACATGCCCTTGACCGGAATCGAACCTGGGACCCTTGAGTCCGCAGGCCGACGCTCTATCCACTGAGCCAAACCGGTTTGGGCGATTTATTTATTTTTTAAAAATACATTTTAATTGATTTCAGAGAGGAAGGGAGAGGGGGATAGAGATAGAAACATCCATGATGAGAGAATCCTGGGGATCGAGCCTGCGACCGGGGCATGTGCCCTGACCAGAAATCAAACCCTGACCTCCTGGTTCATAGGTCGATGCTCAGCTCCTGAGCCAGGCCGCTGGTTGGGCTGATTCAGCCTTTTGATGATGATGCAGAATGAAGTCACGTTGCCTCTCTAACTTCACTCTGTGTCTTCATCTGCCCAAGGAGGTCATGCTGCTGCTGCTGCTTCTAACTGGTGCCCTGTGCCCAGAGCCATGCCCTGCTTCCGGCCTTCCCTGCGCTGAGACTGTGTGTGTTAGAATTGGCGTGGGGAAGGGGAGTGAGTAGGTGGCGAGGTCCCAGTTTGTTCTCCAGTGAGAGGTGTGTATTTGATGCTTGGGATCCCTGACATCTATTTAGCTGTTCAGAAGGGCGATTTGGGTTCGGGGCATTTTGTGTCTACTTTGAGGTCATTGGTTATGTTCTACATTTTCCAGATCATTTTAAAATAAATAATCCAGGAGAGAGTCTGATCAAGCTCTAACGGAGGAGGCCTGTTCTCTGCAAGATTCCCTCCCATACCTCTCTCCTCCCCCTCCCTACCAGGCCCCTCTCTTTCCCATCTGGAGACAGAGGGGGTCCCTGAAGACATCCGCTCTAGCCCCCAAGCTCTAGCCAGAAGCCAGCGGATGCTCTTCTTGATTTCCCCCTCTTTTTCCTGACACAGCAATCTGGGAATCTGACATCTCTGAGGCTGACCCTGGCCAACGTTACCAGTGACCTCAATAGAAAGAATGTGACATGCTGGGCGGAGAACGAGGTGGGCCGGGCTGAAGTCTCTGTCCAGGTCAACGTCTCCTGTGAGTCCCAGTGACTGCCCTGTGCCCACCCTCATCTCCTTCCCTGAAAAGAAGATGTGAGGGTGGGAGGGGCTGGAGGAAAGGGGTGGGAAGTGTGTCTCCACAGCTGCTCCTTCCCAGCTGTTCCCAGATTCCCATGAAAACCTGATCCTTTGGGGGGAAAGCTGGGGGCTCATCAAGGCCAGAGGGATGGAGATGGATTTCTTCCTGGCCCGCTGCCCAAGTCTTACTACCTGAGGTCATCAGCTGTTCTCCCTGCTCCACTGTAGTTCTTCATGCCTGACCCTCTGTAGGACGCTAACTCTACGAACTAGTTTTAAGAGAAGCAATTGCCCTTCCCAGTTCCTGTCTAGGCTCACTGCCTAATTTCTCTAGGCCTGCCAATAAATTATTTTAAATCTTCTACGTTATGTAACTTTTCTTTTAATATGAAATGTAACAGACATAGATTCCCGCATAAAACCTAGACCCTTTAAGCAATAATTATTCTTACCAGCACCTCGGGGACCCTCCCTTCCTCTCCCCAATCAGAATCCCATCCTTCCCCTCCACCCCATCCTGACTTCTGTGATAATCACTTCCTGGCTTTTGAAAGGAATTTTATGCAAGTATGCGGTCCCTATCAATATGGCGTAGTTTTGTCTGTTCTTGCACGTTCTATAAATGGAATCATACCTCAAGTATTATTTTGTGTCTAGGTCCTTTTGCTCACATTATACTTGTAAGATTTATCCATGTTAATGAGAGTGGTTTTAGTTCATTCAGTTCATTGCTGAATAATATTCCATTGCATGAGTGCTGGCTGGAATTCCAATATAAATTATATATGCATATAGATCTATAGATATAGATATTTTCCTATTATTGAGGTGCTTTTTGCCTGTTTCAGGCTGGGTTATTTCAAAACCATGTCTTCTTTTTAAACTTCTGTTTATTTTTTGCTTGTTTGATGCTTATCTGGGGCTATCTTCTTAACCTTGATGACACTTATCCAAAAGACTCCATGTTTAATTTCCATCAGCTGGTACCCACCCCTCTTCTCCAAGGCTATTGCTGACTTACTCTAGGCCCACCACTTTTCTCGAAGCCTCTGAATTTCATACACTTGCTGCCTGATTTATTTAAGATTTACTGCCAACTCCCTCCCACCCCCACTAGTCCCTGCATGTGTCAGGTCCTGCTGGGTCCCCTCCAGCTGCCCCCCCTGACTTCTCACCGGCACTGTCTCTGGCCCACAGTCCCGGCCAGCGTGCAGCTGCATGCGGCAGTGGCGTTTCATCAATGGTGCATCCCCTTCTCGGTGGATGGGCAGCCGGCACCCTCTCTTCGCTGGCTCTTCAATGGCTCCGTGCTCAACGAGACCAGCTTCATCTTCACCGAGTTCCTGGAGCCGGCAGCCAATGAGACTGTGCGACATGGGTGCCTGCGCCTCAACCAACCCACTCACATCAACAATGGCAACTACACATTGCTGGCCACCAACCCCTCAGGCCAGGCCTCCGCCTCCGTCATGGCCGCCTTCATGGACAACCCTTTCGAGTTCAACCCTGAGGACCCCATCCCTGGTGCGAGGGCCACCCTGAACCCTGCCCCCCACCCCTGGGCTCCACCTGGGTCCATAGCCTGGTGTCCGGGGAGGCCTGGCCCACTTTCTGCTGTGATCCTGACCCTAGAAGTGGGAGAGCCTAGTCCCGGACAGAAAACAGTGGAGTTCTGTTCTCCAGCTTTGTACTGGCCTCCTTGCCCCAGGAATCCTGAATCTCTGAGCCGTTCCATTCCCTTGGGCTGGCCGGAGAGAGCCATACACCAGGGCACCCACGGCCCAGCTGGAAAAGGGCCATGTGCGTCTTCTTGCTTGAGGTCCAGCACCCCACCACCCCATCCCACCCGCAGCCCATGAAGGCCTGGGGTCTGATCCCCTAAGCCACTCCCCAGGTGTCCGTCACATCAAAGCCGGGACCTGAGTCCCAAGGGGGGAGGGGACTCACTGCGCTCCTCCCCCGTCTGACTGCTTTCTCTCCTCCCTCCCGCTGCAGTCTCCTTCTCGCCAGTGGGTGAGTACCCCCGGGTGGAGGCAGGTTCTGTCTGGTTGCTGGAGCCAAGCCTGGGGCAGAGGGAACAGTTAACCTGATCCCCAAGGGGTCAGCCAGGGCCAGGGTGGGAGTTGCTGGAGGAGCCACAGCACGTGCCCAGGCCCACCTTCCTGCTCTGTGTCCCCACAGACGCGAACAGCACGTCGGGAGACCCGGTGGAGAAGAAGGATGAGACACCGTTTGGGGTGAGCATGGGAAGTGGAAGCTTGTCTACGGGATCGGGAGGCTGGGCTAGGGGCTCATCCGCATGTCACTTCTGATCAGAGAACGGGGAGCACTAGAGTCTGGCCTGTACTCAGTCAGCCACCCTCACAGCCACAACCTGGGCCCCAGGGGAGGCGGAGGCGGGGCTGGGAGCCTGGCTCTGGGCTCCTATGCAGGATGGAGAAACCGTTTGCTGTGGGGGAGCTCTTAGAGATGGAGAGCAGCCCCGGATCCTTCCTCCTCACCCCCAGGTCTCAGTGGCTGTGGGCCTGGCGGTCTTTGCCTGCCTCTTCCTTTCTACGCTGTTCCTTGTGCTCAATAAATGTGGACGGAGGAACAAGTTTGGGATCAACCGTGAGTGGAGGGGCTGTGGAAGGGCTGTCCGCCAGCTTGTCCTGCTGGCTTTGTTTCCTACCTGCTCTTCCTGACTCTGTCTTCTGTGGGGCTGGGGGTGGGGGGCAGCGGACACACGGAGTTTTGGGGACTTGTGTTGTTTGGGGGGTGAGGGCCTGG